CGGGGACGAGGACACCGAGGACACCGAGGATGCAGGTGACCAGGAGCACAAGGACACGGGTGACAACCCAGGTGATGTCCAGGCCATGCGGTGCCCGTGACACGGATAGGTAACGTCACGGAGAGGTGACACGTGACGTCATGGACAGGTGACACCGGTGACACGTGGCAACGTGGACACGTGACGTCATGGCCCAGCCTCGTCTCCCAAATAAAGGACCTTTCTTGTCACTGTCCCCCGCTGCGTCACTGTGTGTGACGGGGACACGCGGTGGCGTCAGTGCCCCAGAAACACAGAGCTGGCCTTGGGGAGAGCGTTTATTGTCACCCCTGGGGGTGGTACCGAACGGTGACACTGCTGGGGGGTGACGCGTCGGGTGACGCATCGGGTGACTCGGTGACGCGTCGGGTCCCGGCTGGCAGCGGCCACTGTCACTTGGTGATGGTGTTCCTGGGGGGAGGGTGTCAGTCACACGGGGGCTCCCGGTGTCACTTGTCCCCAGTGTCGCGCTCGGTGCCTCCCATTCCCGTTCCCGCTCCCATTCCCGGTATTCCCGGGATTCCTCACGCGTTCATGCTCTTCCCGCTGCCGCTCAGCACCACGTAGGGCAGCCCATTCCCGTTCCCATTCCCGGTATTCCCGGTATTCCCGGGATTCCTCACGCGTTCATGCTCTTCCCGCTGCCGCTCAGCACCACGTAGGGCGTCTTCTGCGCCCGCTGCTTCTCCTGCAGCAGGGCCACCGTCCCCAGGGGGGTGTCGCTGGAGCTCATGCGCTTGAGCAGCTGCGGGGACGACAGCGGGGACGTCACCGGGACAACACCGGGACGCGGGGACGTCACCGGGACACAGGGATGTCACAGGGACAACGTATGGGGCCGCAGCAGCATCAACAGTGACACCAGGACGTTGTGTGGGGGGACATTGTTTTCTTAAGGGCCTGGCACCACCCCGGGTGTCCCCAACATGTCCCTGCCGTGTCCCCCCGCTGTCCCCATCGT